ACAGGCTGGTCTTGAACCCACTATTTAGCCTGCACTGGCCTTGAACTCCTTCTGTCTCTACTCTCAAGTACTGGTATTACAGGTGTGCACCATCATGTCTGCCTGGGTTTCTTTTTAATGGTGCTAATTTCTTTAGCAGCCATACTTCCTTTGGCCCCAAATTTACACATGATTCTTTTGGGGCTAACATTTAAGTTTTTCTTCTTTTTTTGCCCTGGTTTTTGCCCTTAAATCTCACTATACATCTAGCTAAAACCAACAAGCGGTACCTACTCCACAGCCTGAATGTTGGGCTGCCTTAAATTTTTATCAGCCAAATCAATTTTCTACTACCCCTAATCTCAATCTTGCACAAAGACTTAGGATAAGGGCAAAAAATATAGATGACTTTATTTTTTGGACTAACTGTAACATGCATGATCTCTAGTCTAGTTGCCAGTGGAATCCTTGTTTCCAGTTGAAACCTTCTGAGCCTGACCTCTACTGTCTGCATGTCTATCAGCATACTGGACTGCTGGACTCCAACCAGAATCAGCCATCAGCCTTGCTTACAGAATTCTACAGCTTTTACACCTCTCTAAACCTTTTAGAAGTCCTCCTATAAACCTGTTCCAAGGCTTTTAAGCATCATGTTAGTTATGGCTATGACCCCACTTCTCTGGTGTCAATTTTCTGTATGAGTGTTCCCATCACTGAGACCCAATACCCAGCACCTACAATTTAAATGATAGGTTTATTTTTTTTCTTAGTTTCAAAGGATTCAGTCCATGGTTGGCTGACTGCAAGGTAGAAACATCATGGCAGTAGGGAATGGCACAGCTAAGTTGCTTAGTTCATGACAACAAGGAACAGGACTGAAGAATAGCACCAGAGTGGAAGGGGCCAGGGACCCTATATAACACCCAAGGTCATGCCTCCATGAACCACCCAGACACACCCAGAGTGAGCTTTACTAATCCCATATCCAGCTCTCAAACCAATGATAGTGACATAATTAAACTCAACCACCATATCTCTTGTTCTTGGATTGGCAGAATTAATATTGTTAAAATGGCCACATCACCAGAATCAATCTATGGATTTAATGAAATCTCTATTAAAATAATAACAGCATTCCTTACAGAACTAGAAAAAACAATCCTAAAATTCACAGAGACTCAGAAAAAACCCAGGATACCTAAAGTAATTCTGAACAAAAAGAGCAAAGTGAGAGTATCATAATACCAGATTTCAAGTTACACTACAAAGATATGGTAGCAAAAACAACATAATATTGCCATAAAAATGAACACATAGTCCAATGGAATAAAACAAAAGACACAGAAACAAGCCCATGTACCTTCAGCATTTGATTTTTGAAAAACAGGCCAAAAATATACTTTGGCAAAAAGATAGCCTCTAAAAAATGGTGCTGGGTAAACTGAATATCCCCTTGCAGAAAATTGAAACTACACCCCTATCTCTCACTCTGAACTAAAATCAAAATGGATCAAAGAACTTGATAAAAAAACAAATTTTGAAACTGCTGTAAGATAATACAGGGGAAACACTTTTTAAGCATAGGCAAAGACTTGCTGAATAGAATTCTGATAGAATAGGAAATAATATAAAAATCAATGAATGGGATTATATAAAACAAAAAGCTTCTTCACAGCAAAGGAAACAATCAACAGAGTAAGAAGATAGCCTATAGAATAGAAGTCAATTTTTTTTTAGCTACTTTTCTTTTTTTTCTCTCATTGAGTTTATTGGTACATTTTAGGTATACAATATAGTTACATTCATCATTGGGATCTTGTACCTTTACATGACAGGTCTTGGTTCTCATTTTTTCCCCATACCCCTGTCCTCCCTTCACCCCCTCCTCCCTTCCCTCTAAAAAACTTTTTTCCATTTTCTCATATTTTTTCTTTTCCCTTATTTCCTTTCCCCTATACTTTTCTGATAGAGGACAAATATATAGGACATTAAAAAAACTAAAAAAATTAACCCCCAAACAAATGACTCAATCAAAAGGGGGGGTAAATGAACTGAAAGAAGTGCAAATATTCAATAACCACATGAAACAAAATGTTCAACATCTTTAAGCATTAGAGAAATGCAAATCAAAACAACTTTGAAGGGCTGGAGATTTAGTGCACCTGCCTTGCAAGCACAAGGTCCTGAGTTTGATTCCCGGTACAGAAAACCAAAACCAAACATAACACAATACAACAAAACCAAACAAAACCAACTTTGATAGTCTATCTTACCTAAGTCAGAATGGCTGTCATGAGAACAGGAAAAACAATGAATATTGGTGAGGATGAGGGGGAAAATTGTTGGTGCAAATGTAAATTAGTATAACCCCATGGAAATCAATATGGAGAGTCCTCAGAAAACTAAAATAGAGATTCCATTTGACCCAGCTATACCTCTTCTGAGTATATTCCTGAAAGAACCAAAGATACTACACCATAGTGAGGTGTGTATACCTGTGTTTAGAGCAGTGCAATTCACAATAGCCAAGCTCTGAAAACAACTTAGATGCCTGTGAAACAGATGAATGGACAAAGAGTAGAATATTATTCAGCCATAGGGAAGAATGAAATCAGGTCATTTGCAGGAAAATTAATGCAATTTGAGACGTTCATGCTGAGTTTAATAAATGACTCAGTAAATATTGCACATTTTCTCTTATATGAGACACCTAAAATATAAATAAATGAATAAAATAAAGAAGAGTTGATAGAAAACTAGAAGGTAGGCTCTTGGAAATAGGGCGAGAGATCAGGGGAGAGGAGGGTAAAGGGATTGAAAATGGTCAAGTCATATGTCAATTTCCCAAAATAAACCAGTATTCTGTATTACAAATATGCACTAAAAAGAAAGAAAGAAGAGTTCAACAACAACAAGCTCTATTAAGTTAGAATGGCTAAAACACTAAAAAATCAGAAGGAAAAATTATAAAAATTTAGAATTATTCTAAATTCATATGGCTTTATAAATATTTTAAATTCTTACTCCATGTTAAGGAAACTAAAACCTAAAATGCTGCATTAAATGCAGAATTTACTAATTTATATTATATTAATTAAATTTATTTATTCATTTATTTATTGTGGTACTGGGGATTGAATCCAGGGCCTTGCACTGAAATATAACATATCCAGGATTTTCCTTCTCTCTTTTTGAGACAAGGTCTTGCTAAGTTGCCTAAGCTGGAACACAAAAAAATGGCATGTATTAATGGGGTAACATGGTCCATTGATATGTATATACATTTTGTAATGTTTAAATCAGGGTAAGCCTATCCATCTCATCAATAATTTGTCATTTCTTTATGATGAAAACATTCAAAATAATTTCTTCTGGCTTTTACAAATTAATATACATAATTGTTATCTATAGTTACTCTACTGTGCATACCATAACTTTTTACTTCTATCTAACTGTAGCTTAATTCTTATTGATTAACCTTTCTCCCATCCCTTCTTCCCTGGTACTAGCACCAGCATCTAGTAACCACCATTCTACTCTCAGTTTCTATGAAATCAACTTTTTAGTATTTTATATGAATGAGATCATGGGGCATTTGTCTTTCTGTGCTTGCTTTTTAATTAATTAATTATTCAGTACCTGGGATCAAATTCAGTACCTTGCAAGGTGAGGCAGGTGTGGCGCCACTGAGTTAAATCCCTGGCCCTGTGCTTGCTTTATTGAAATAAGGTGAACCTAACATAATGATCTCCAGTTTCATCTATGTTGTAACAAATGACAGGCTTTCATTCTTTTTTATGACTGAATAGTATTGTATTGGTAGGTGTACAACATTTTAAATTCAATTACCAGATGATGAACACTTTTCAGGGCTAAATCTTAGTCTGGTAGAGATGGATAAGTCTTTCTAGTCCAACTGCTCCTTTGATCCTTCCTTCCTCTTATTTTTTTGGATATAGTTTTAAAATAACCCTAAAATCATTCAAATGCCTCAGGGTTAAAACTGAGAGTTCTTGAGAGAGAATGGGGTTAATAAAGTTAAAGCTATGACTCTGAAATCTTTTCTTGTATATTTGCTATTCTTTAGTCAAACTGTTAAGCACGGGTCCACCTACTGAAAAATAAAGCTTATTCAGAGCAGGAGTTTAGCAATGGGGCTTCCTTAGGAACAGAAGCAAGGGAACCCTTTTTATGAATACAAAAAGGCCCAGAAGGCTTTATATCCTCCAGAGAAGAAAGAAAGGGTTTATCCAAAAGAGAGAACGTAGGGCTGGGGATTTAGCTCAGTGGAACCGTGTCTGCAAAAAGACAGCCTTGCAAAAGAGACAACTGTAAAACAGAGCTTCCCATTACTCCACTCGTGGGTCTGGTTACTCATGCATGTAGGCCTGCCATGAAAACAACTGAAGGAACACACAGAGTTCACTGTGGTCAGCAAATATGAAAATAATTAATGTCACTTGTAATTTATGTTAATTATTCTTCTTCAACCTTGGGATAATAGGCAGGTGTACCTCTCAGGCCTGTTTTAGTCCCCTAAATTGTTCAATCCCAGTGTGCTCTTAGACTTCTGAAAAATAGAGCAGTCAGTGAATCCTTATGGTGTCTTGAGAAAGTGCTTCTGACTATGCTTCAAGCGCGAATAGAAGTTGACTAATTTCAAAGCAAAGAAAGATTCAAGAACCTGTCATCTTCATTTATCATGGCAAATTGTGTTTCTCTGGAACAATACATTTCTCCACTGTCCATGAAGGGCATTGAAACAGGATCTGGTTGTGGTCACTTTGCTGACAGAGAAAAAGCCTTGAGGAGGATGCTCCAGGGAAACGCTGACTTCCAAAGTTCGCGAGTTATTAGGTCTTCAGAGGGGCAGAACCTCCTGCGGGAGAACGTGAGCGGCAACGTCCCCTCGCTCGCTCGGTAGAGCACGTCTACCCGCCTGACTAAAGCTTACTCTGAGTTCTATCTCCTGGGCTCCGCGCTATGCGCGGGGGCTGTCAATCAAAACGTTCGACCCGCCCCATCCGGAATTCGACCAATCATAGTCGGGGGTCGGGGGTGAGGAGACGTAGCTGGTCAGGAAGCAGGGGCCGTAAGGCCTGGCACTGAGAACGCAAACCCGGGAGCCAGCATCCAACTGGAGAGCGAACGGCTGGCGCCGGGGTCCCGAGGTGAGTGCAGGGCTACGGACTATGTGAGGGCGTCCGGGCCCCTGCCGCCGGAGCGAGTGCTGCTTGGCTCCTCACGCGCGCTCCTGGGCTGAGGAGCTCTTCCTTGGCGCGCCGGCACCCGAGTCCCTGCCGCAATCAGAGGACCTGCAGCTCCGGGGTCAGGGCTGGGAGTGTCGGTGCTGCTGGGGAGGGGGCCGGGCCAAGGTTGAGGCCGGCAAGGTTGGAGCCCCTGGTGCCGCAGCCCAGGACCGGTGGAGCCTGAGCTCCGGCACTGAGAGGGCGGGGCTGGGCTCGAGCTTCTGCTCCTCGGCTTTCTGGACTTTCGAAGCCCGAGCCTGTGGGGCCCGCTGGGGACCCCCTGTGCCCGTCCTTCACCTCCACGGCCGTGGGGCGCTTGGCTGTGCCGCCCTCATAGCCCCTGTCTGCGGGCTCAGCGCCTCTTGGGGCACCTGCCGATCCTTGGCTGGCGGTGCCGCCACACGTTCGGCTGCACTGGTCCAACTAAGCTGGTTTTGGCACGTCAGATTCGGGTCGTACGGCGAGAAACGAGTGCGACTTTGCAAGATATGGTGCGGAGACGCTTGGCCTAAGGCCCAACCTCCTTGACTGAAGACCAGTAGTGTGGTGGTGCCAAGAGAGGTTCTCGGGTTATGCAACATTTGCGTGAAAGTGTACATTTTATCTCGCTTTTCATTATTTACTCTAAAGGAGGATTGTTGTTACATTCCGAGGGGATAAAGAATCACACTACTCTGATGGGCCTGCCCCCTCTTCGCTGCTATTAACTACCATTTGTTAATTTCGGGTGTGTTTTAAGCTGGCAGGACCCTCAGACTCCAATAATTAATTGTCTGATCCCAGAGTGTGGCTGATGCATCATGCTGTTCCTCTATAGTATTTGGGTTGTGCTTCCCTTTATGTTTAGTATCTTCTTTCTGTGTCTGTTATCCTCACAATCTCTCCGGGGTTGATATTTATTATCGAGAAAGGAAGGGATAGTTTAGATTACTAAAGTGGGGATGGGTGTCCTTCTTGCCCCAGAATCAGGTTGTCCTGAGATGACATTCAAAACTCTTTTCAGAAAGGCCATTCCCTTATTAACGGTCACAAATAACAACTCTTGGCCTCTCTAAACTAGTGTTTCTCCTACTTGACTAATTATCTGGTTATGTCATGTACAGGTATAAATTCCCTATGATGAATGTTATGTATTTCTAAAATGTACCAGTAAATGTTTTGCTAAAAAAATAATTATCTGATGACCTTTAAAAAATTGTTTCTTAAGCCTACTCCCACATGATTTAGTCAGTTGGGCCTTTAAACACTATTTTTAAAAGCTTGTACAGTGGTTGTTAATGCACAAGCAGGATTGAGAACCATAATCTACCAACATGCCCCATTTTTTTTTCACACTTAGTACTATATGCCTTATTTAAGTAAATTTATTACTTCTTCAACTACCATTGTAATCTCCGTGAATGCCTTGCTTTGGAAAAGGGCAAGAGAAGGTCTAGGTGAAGCCAGCCCTTTGGGCATTGAGGTGGGGTACATGAAAAGAAAGTCGAATCTTTGGAAACAGGTCTGTCTGGCACATTATGTTTTTTGCTTCCTCTTTGTTCGAGGATTGACCCTATGTGATTGACCCAGTATGGATGCGAGTCCAGTTCTTTCTGTAGATCTTGTTTTGTTTACTCAAGGTCTTAGTACCCTGTGAAATACAGTGGTTCTTCAGAAAGCTTGAAATGTAACCATTTATGTTTGGTTGTATCCCATCCATGTAAACCTGTGCTTTTGTCTCTTATGTAGGGATGTGCATATTCTGAATTAAATTCAGACACTTGTTCTCATGAGTGCAATTGCAATTATATGAATAGCGGGTCAGAATATTTAGAATAGCCAGTCTCAGAAATAGGAGATGTGTAGCTGTCCTGTAGTATATTATTGTGAATGGGGTTGAAGGGTTGCTGTCAGGTTGCCTTTGTTTTGCCCTTAATTCAAGTATTTCATTTGTGTTATTGACAATTGTAATTTCTAGCAATGTAAGCAACTACTTTGTAATTTTCTTGTGAGAGGGGAGTAGATAATCAGGTACCTAATGATGAAGTACAGAGTTGTTGCTGCAAGTCATTGCCTTGTATGTATCTTGGACTTCGAAGTAGTCCTAATCAAAATTTGGCAAAACAATCCCAACAACTATTGGGCTTCACCTGCAAGACAGACCATACATTTTGCTTTTTGTTTTTCCTTTACATATAAAAATAAAGCACGAGTAAGTGGTATTCTGATACTTAACAAAGACTTGAAAACAAGACTGTTGAAGCTTAGATTCCTTGAACTATGTATTTTGTTTAAACTTGTAATAATACAGATACAGTGGACCTTTGATTTATGAACTCCATTGGTTCCCAAGGATTGGGTGTAACTCCAGTTGGTTGTAAGTCATTACATCTGACATCTGGATATTTATCTGGGTACATGGTATAGATAACAAGAGGCAGATAAATCTTCCCTTAACCTCATCAACCCAAGCTGTTTTTATGTCAGGCTGGTCATAACTTGGAAGTTCACTGTACTTCATGTTTTCTGTAGTGAGAGGACAGAACACTGCATTACATAACTATGTAGTTTTAAGAAATGTATTGTGTGGAGTTTTCAGCTTTGTTTTATAGTTAAATGTCGTACTGCCAGTTAGAGTTTTGACCTTCAGCTAAGGTCTGACAGTGATTTTCCAGATTGAAGTTAATGTATGTAAACAAGTTACTGTACTTTTTTGGGGGGTTTGTGCTTTCGAGGCAGGCGATGTACTGTTTTGTTTTGGGAAAAGGAAATGTCTCTATTAACCCTCCTACTACAGTCTACTTCTGTCTTTGCATACTTCTCTGCCTATAAAATTGTATTCTTAATTTCTAGTAAGTTTTCCTTTACTTGATTTTTAGTATCTTTAATCTTTTAATTATGTGTTTATTTCTGTTGCAGTGAGAAGAATGATATAAAAATCAAAAAGCGTCAGTGTGTGCAACAAATCCAGCAAGAAGAGAATAAGGGCTGCTGGTCGTGGTCACTTGAGTTCAGGATTTCATGCTGGAAGGAAAGATATTTTAAACTGTCTTATCTTATTTCTGATAAGTATCTCTTCTAAGGAAGTTTTCAAGAAAGGTAAATTATATTGAATTATACATTTTAATTTTTGGGTGATCTGAACAATATTTTCCTAGTCATTCCTGTCCAGCACAAGTATTCTTTTTTTTTTTTTTTTTGGCTTTTTGAGACAGGGTCTCACTATGTAGTTGAGACTGACCTGGAACTCACTATGTAGCCCAGGCTGGTCTCAAACTCACAGCGATCCTCCTGCCTCAGCCTCCCAAGTGCTGGGATTACAGATGTGTACCACCACGCGTGGCTCAGCACTAGTATTCTTTTTTTTTTTTTTCTCATTGAGTTTATTGGTACATTTTAGGTATACAGTGCAGTTACATTCATTATTGGGATCTTGTACCTTTACATGACAGGTCTTGGTTCTCATTTTTTCCCCTTGTCCCTGCCCTCCCTTCACCCTTTCCTCCCCTCCCCATTGACAAACACTTTATTTCCGTTTTTTCATTTTTTCATATTTTTTTCTTTTCCCTTATTACCTTTCCCCTACTCCTCCCACTTTCCCTATATACCTTTAGCCCTTTTCTTCCTATTTCACACTGTCAGTTGTCTCATTAGGGTCTTACGTAGTATTATAGTTTTTCACACCAGAGAAACTATTCGGCATTTACACTTGTGTGATTTATTTATTTCACTTAGAAGTATATCCTCAATATGTGTCCATTTTCCTATGAATGAATCTAATTTCTCATTCTTTATGGCTGAGTAGCACTGGTATTCTTGATTCTAACGTGACTTGAGATACCAAGCAAGTTTCCTGCTCTCCTTGCAAATGGTTTTCGTGTGATAATGTGTAGGTTTTATATTTTTAGGAAAATAAAAGAAACCTGCTACAGGTTTCCTTTTTCACTTAGAAACCTTTTGTTTTAATTTAAATTGTTTCCCTAAATATAGTTCAGTGCCTTGTTTTTCTTTACAGCTGATCTTTTTTTACTTATAAATTCACCATTATTCTTTATATTTGTGAATTTTCCTTTCTTTCTTTCTTTTTTTTTTGGGGGGGGGATCAAACTCAGGTCCTTGTGCTTGCAAGGCAGGCAGCGGAACCACTGAGCTAAATCCCTGGCCTGTGATTTTTATTTCTTGATGAAAAATTAGGATATATGGATAAAGGAGAAAACAGAACTTGCTCACAGTTATTTTTAGCATGTCTTTCAAAAAGATCTAGTATACCTCAAGCTGTTTCTATGTAGGTGTGCAAATTGGTCTCTCAAATGACATTACTCTACTTGCTTTTAGCAGGAAGTTAGGGCCTTTTCTTGTGTGACTCTTTATAATTAAGGGCAGCAGAACTCTAGCCACTGGGGACTTTTTGCATTGCTGCCTAGAGCCTTAGAGTTCCTTTAGCTTTGGATCTGCTGCCCTTGCTATCCTTCTGTGTCGCTGACTCCCCCTGTGCTGCTGCTGACTGACCCAGAAACACACTGACATTCTTCATATGGCTGGTGTCCACACAGCTGTGAGACCACACCTGCCCATTGTACAGCTAAATTCCTGTTTTACCATCTTTGGTCTTTTTCACTCTTACCATTAGGGAAAGCTATAATTTTTTTATGGCCAACTCTTTGAGAAGAATTTTTTATAGCGGAAAGTTTGGAATACTGGTGAAAGAATTATTCTCTATTTCATAGTGATTTCCTTCTCAGAATTTACAGTCACTTCAGGGGTGTGCATGCCTTGTTAGTGAAGAGGGACATTGTTGAGGGAGCAGTAAGATGTCTTTTATAGTCCATGACATCCGTCCTACCCTGCTTCCCCTTCCCTCCCCTCTTTTCCCCTTTAAATCAAACAGGGGACCTCTAGCATGTGCAGTTGCTTTTTCACTGAGTCACATTTCTTGCCCTTATTCCTCTTTAAAAAGGGAACTTTTATCTAGTGTGAGTGCAGATTTTTAAAGGGGAATTTCTTGCTTTTAGTACAGTTCATGGTATTTATACAGAGGACCTTTGTAATTATTTGTTGTGCTGATTGCTGAGTTAGTGCATTTCAAGTAATGAGCTTAGTACTGTGAGGGAATTGGGGTGGGGGGCGGGGGAAGCATGTTATATTATCATTAAGTTGCTTTTTTTGATACCTGTATGCCTCACCTTCTGTAGAAAGCCTCCATGGGAGCAAAATACTATAATAACTTCTCTTTTTACTTGTTTCAAAATAGCAAGTGGAGAAAGTATTTTGAATTTATTTTATGGGAGAATGGTTAGGAATGGTGTGAGGGCCAGTCATGGCCCACTGGCGTTTGACATTTGGAAAATAACTTCTTCCTCTACAATTAAGGCATTGATAAAATCTATGTAACATTCCTTACTTTTCTAGGACTCTGCTTGTTAAACTTGTTTTTTGACCCTGCAATGGGAGAAACTCAAAGAGACAGCCAGCCACAGATCTGATGTTCTTGGTAAAGAGTCAGAAAATCCAGTCTGCATAAGATAAAAACAATTGCTTGGTGTTTTCTGTTGTTGTGTGCCTTTAAAAGCTTCCTGTTGATGTGAGCCTATAAAAGGAGCTGTTTCTGTGAAATAAATCAGACTTCTCTTGGTCTCCACTCCGGCTTGAGTGTTCTTTCCTTTCTCCATCCTCACTCTCCAACTCAGGTGTGTTCACGATGTGACGGCTGAGCTGCCACAGAATGGCATACCTCGATGTCCTCTGATGGGTGATAAAGGAATTTGGAATCCTGTTACCTACTCCTCAAGTGTAAATTTCATCCCCTAAATTTTCAGGGAATCCATCTTTCTTCCTGCTCCTTATTATGTAGCTGTGGGAGAATGAGGACTGAATACATAGTGGAGGAGCCAGAAACCCAAAGGGTGTTTTCTGTTTCTGCTGTAAGAGTGGGGCTTTTCTTGATTTCCAGAGAGTGTCAGGGTGATTTGCAGTGTCCCAGAGCACCACATACAATCACAAGATTTTCTTAAACTGTAAGGGAAAGGAAGTGATTTTATTTATTAAGATCTCCATAGAAATTTACTTTTATTTTGCAATTTCTGAATGTGAAAACATTCTTTGTTTTCGTAAAAGTTAAAACCTAAATAGGTAATAGGGCAAATATTACCCTATTTACATAGAAGCCTGGGGTTGAGAGAGGAAACTTAATTTTCTGAAAGTGGACTATCACTGTGTTCTGGCTCTTTGCTCTCATTGTGACTTTTGGCTGTAGATAAGGTTCAGGAAGAGGATATGTATTTTTCCTTTTCTTTTACTCCACCCTTGTCTACTGCAATTGGTGATTTCTCCTGTTTTCCCTCTTTGAAGGAACTTGTGGAAGAATTTGCTTCTTGAATAAACTGTACTCTCTCCTCCACACCGAGAACTACTAAGGCTACTAGAAGGACAGAAGCAAGTTAAACTAAAAGCTCATCTGTATCTCAGAAAAGACATGGAGTTTTGAGGAGTGAAAGTAGCATGGTGTCGGCCATGGGTGATCAGGACACAGCCGGACAATGTGGACCCATTTCTTCAAACTACGGCTTTTCTGCTGTCTACTTGCAGTGTTGATGGTAGTGGTGCTGGTTGTCAATGTTACTCAGGTAGAGGTGAGTGCTCAGTGTATTCCTTTTGTACTTTGGTTTACAAACAAAAGCATTTTGCAAAATTTTGTTTTTGTTTGGAAACTCTGCACTGGGTGACAGCATGACTGTGGCTATCATTCCTGCTCAAACACAAATGTGGCCATCTTTTCCAAATTCATGGATTAGTTTGTGGAGTGAGATGTACATGATGTATGCATAAAATATGTATATATTTTTCTCAGATACTGGGGATTAAACTCAGAGTCTTTACACCAATCTATATCCCAGCCATTTAATAAAATTTTTTAAAAATTTTGAGATTGGCTATTGCTCAGTCACTAAGTTGCTTAGGCTGAGCTTGAATTTATGACCCTCTTGCCTCAGCCTCCCAGAGTACAGGGATTACAGGTGTGTACCACCACACTTGGCATAGTTCTTTTCATTTATTCAGTAAGAATTTGAGTGTCCCCAGTGCTCATATGTTGTGCTAGTCACTGAGGATGTAATGGTAAAGAAGACAGGTATGGTTTCTATACTTAATGGAGTTCACATGTGGAGTGTGGATGGATTAAAATAATAGAAATGGAGTATCCCATAGCTGAAATACTTCAGACCAGAAGTGTTTCAGATTGTGTAGGTTTTTGTTTTACTTTATAAAGAAAAGAAGTTGATGAGTCTGTTTTGAAGACTGCTGTATTGCACTGAAGGAGAGAGACCATCTCTTACTGAATCCCTCACAAATGCTAAACACTAAGAAAACATAGTAATATTTCTTTCTACCTTATGACTTACATAACATAAAAATTTTTGGAGTAATTTCTGCAAGAAAAGATGCTGCTTTTTTTGTTTCATTGGCTTGTGGTTCTTCTTAGGTTAGAAGTCTAACTTAATTATGGCATGTCTTTGCTTATTGGGTTTTATTAGCACAAGATGCTCTAAAAACTAAGCCACTGGCTTTCAAAAAGTTTCTCCTACTGGAATCCACTTTGTGGTTATTTTTAAATTTTTATTGGAACACCTAATTTCACTATGAAATGGTCACAAAGGGTCCTACAGATTTCTTTTTCTGTTAATCTTTGATATAAGTTGTTACATATTTGAAGAATGTGAAATGACTCTATTCAAGATTTCTTATTAAATATGGCTTTAAAGTATAAGAACTAAGTATTTCTTCATTTTTCTTTGCTTAACTTGTTCTTGCATGTGTTGCTACAGACAAGATGGTGCCAATTGTACACTGCTGGTGCCTTCTATCTACCTGGAAGCTGTCAGTGATATATCTAGATGTTGTAGAATCAATCTTTCTCTCTCTAAGATAGACATAATTTACCATTTAACAATTTTAAGTGTAAAATTCAATGGAATTGAGTGTGTTACACTGTAGCAACTACTACCACCATCTGTCTCCAGAATTTTTTATTTTCTCAGGCTCAAACTCTTTACCCAGTAGACAGTAATTGCCCAGTCCTTCCTACCTTTAGTTACCGACTTCCACTATTCTATCTTCTGTCTCTTTGACTTTGATGGCTCTAGGTGCTGCACATAAGTGGAGTCATATTGTATTGGTCTTTTTTGTTACTGGCTTATAGATAAGTCAAATTCAGATTCTTTTTTTTTTTTTTTTTTTTTTTTTTTGTGGTACTGGGGATCAAACTCAGGACTTTGCACTTGCAAGGCAAATAGTGGCATCAGTGAGCTAAATCCCCAGCTGTTACTGGCTCATTTATGCTAGCCTGCAAGATATATCCATGTTATAGCATGTATCAGAATTTCCTTAAGGTTATATAATATTCCTGTCTACATACACAGAAAAAGAAGTATTTTTATTCCTTAAAAAGGAAGGTTTGGGCTGGGCATGGTGGTGCCTGCCTGTAATCCCAGCACTTGGGAGGCTGAGGCAGGAGGATCGCTGTGAGTTTGAGACCAGCCTGGGCTACATAGTGAGTTCCAGGTCAGTCTCAACTACGTAGTGAGACCCTGAGTTTTTTTTTTTTAAAAAAAGGAGTTTTGGGCCAGGAATTTAGCTAAGTGGCACTGCACCTGCTTCACAAGTGCAAGGTCCTGAGGTCCTGAATTTGATCCCCAATAACGTGTGTGCACGTGCACACACACACACACACAACCAAAAAAAAGGAAGTTTTGATGCATGCTACAACATATACATACATACAAATATATGTATATAATATGACATATATATAATATATACCATTTTAAAAGTCTTTTCATCTATTGATGAACATTTGAGATTTACCTCCTTTTGACAATTGTGCATAATGCTGCTATGAAGATGGATGTGCAGATATTTCTTCAGGACTCTGTTTCAGTTCTTTTGGATGTGTTTCCACAAGTGGGACTGCTATGTGGTAATTCTATTTTATAAAGAACTACAATACTGTTAAAAAAAAAAAAGAACTACAATACTGTTTTCCATAACAGTTGCACTATTTTCATCCTCATCAACGGTGCACAAGGGTTCTAATTCTTGCTTCTAATACTAATTGTTATCATTATGGTTTTTGGAGACAGGGTCTCACTGTGTTCCAGGCTGTCCTCAAACTCATGGTGTAGCCTGTGTAGCTGGCCTTAAACTTGCAATCCTTCTGTAAGAATATTGATTTTTGTGGAGGAGAGGTTTTGTTTTTGTTTTTTGGGACAAACTGTATAGCTCAGACTTGCCTTGAATTTTTGGTAGTCCTCCTGCCTTAGTCACACAAGTTCTGGGATTACAGGTATGCACCATTGCACCAGACTGCTTCCCAGAATGTTGAGATTACAGATGTGTTCCACCATACCTGGCTTTATTTGTTTATTTTTATTGTAATCTTCATCATCCGTGTGAGATAGTATCTTATTGTAAGGTTGTGTGTGTGTGTGTGTGTGTGTGTGTGTGTGTATGTGTATAAATAACCCTGTGGCTTATGCATGTTAGGCAAGTACTGTATCACGGAGCTATATCGTTAGCCCTGTTTTTATTATTTTGAGCTAAGCTGCACAGGCTAGCCTCAAATTCATGATCATTCTGACTTAGTCTCTTGAGTAGTTGTTCTTTTAATTTGCATTTCCCTAATGGTTTGTGATGTTGAACATTTTTTTTTTTGTTTGTGTGTGTGTTTTTTTTTTTTGAGACAGGGTCTCGCTATGTAGTTGAGACTGACCTGGAACTCACTATGTGGCCCAGGCTGGTCTCGAACTCACAGTGATCCTCCTGCCTCAGCCTCCTGAGTGCTGGGATTACAGGCATGCGCCACCATGCCTGGCATTGTTGAACATGTTTCCATGTTGTTCCTGGCCATTTGTGTGTGTGTGTGTGTGTATGTATGTGTATATATATACATTTTTTTTCTTTATGAGAATTGTCTATTTAAGTCCCCCTCCCCCCTTTTTGATGGTGATCAAACCCAGTGTTTCATGCATATTAAGCAAGAACCCTACCTTGAGTTACATCTTTAGTACCATTGTTACTAATCAACTCAAGGTTTTTTGTATGTGTGTTTGTGTGTGCAATTTGGATAGAAATTGTGAAAAGGCAAATGACATCTTCCTTCCTGTTAATAGCTCTGGGTTCTGAGTGTCAGCAGCTCTCAACTTGTAGTGTTAACAACTCTTCCTGCTGTTCTTTGTGGCCCTCCTAACAGTTTGCAGCAGCGAGCTAGTAGCTCTTCTGCAGCATTCCCAGGTGCTCCTAGATCAGTGATGGCAAACCTTTTAGAGAATAAGTGCCCAAATTGCAACTCAGAACCAACTTATTTACTGTAAAATGCCAACACTGGAATTAAACCTGAATTCTGAGGTTTTAGTTTAGAAAAACCACTCATACATTAACATCTTTTGTCTTAAAAGAAACAGATAACATATGTGCCATTGGTTTGCCACCACTGTCCTAGATCTTAGCAGCTCTGTGATGGCAAAATTTTCAGGAAAGTAGCCCCTAGTGTTACCAGTTCTTAGTACAACCAGCTCAGCCTGATCTACTTGAAACAGAATTAACAAATAAGCAAAATAAAACCACCCAAAAACGGCTTTATTGAGACTTATGGTGCAGCAAAAGGGGGTAATGGGATGAGGGAGGCTTCCTGAACTGGCCCCATGAGAGTGAGGAGTGCTGCTTATATGAGAAAGGCAAGCCCTTGCGTGTGTAGTCTCCTGTCTGTTAATCCACTTTCTAAACTGCCAGCTCGGCTCACCTGCCCTGGCTGTCATGGATGGGGAAGGCGCTGCTCTCTGACCACAGTGAGGACAGCTGAAGTGGCTGCCTTGTGGGATGGAGTCATTGGGAGTAGCAATGGCTAAGGTGCGGTTTTGTAGGTCAGTCATGGGGAATCAGGTTCAGTCAAAGCTCAAGGAAAGATCTTTCTCAGCAGTCATGAAAGTTGTGATAAAAACACAGAACACAACCCCCTCTCCTTTTTTTTTTTTGAGACAGGGTCTCATTTTGTAGCCAGGTCAGTCTTGAACTTGCTATTCTGCCTCAGCTTCCCGAGTGTTGGGATTATAGCTGTGCATCATCATAATAATATACTATTTTAGCCATTTTCCAGAACTCCTAATTGCCCTTTTAATATCCATAGAATTTGTGGAATTGTCATTCTCTCATTTCTGATGTTGATAATTCCTATCTTCTTTTTCAATCAGTCAAACTAGAGGTTTATTAGTTTTATTGATCTTTTCTAAGAACAAACTCATTGCTTTTTTACTCTGTGTGTATGTGTGTGTGCATTACTGGGGATTGAACCTAGGGCCTTCTCACTGAGCTACATCCTTACTCCTTTTTATTTTTCATTTTGGAACAGTCTTGACAACTTGCGAAACTGCTGGGGCTGGGCTTAAATTTGCGATACTCCTGCCTGAGTCTGAGTGCTGGGATTACTGGTGTGTGCTTCTATGGCTGGCTGCACTTTGAATTTTATGATATCTTTTCTTCTACTTATTTTTAATTTAATTTTCTCCTGTCCACCCCCCCTCTTGTTTTTTTGGAGACAGAGTCTCACTATGTAGTTTAGACTCCTCTGGAACTCACTGTG